TCTGTTAATAAATGACCCACTGTCGTTGGTGAGTCAAAGATAATTAACGTCTCACGTTACATTTCTAAATTCAATGCACATTATATACAGTCCAGAAAAATGAAAGAATCCGTTTAATTTATGAATATATATCAGTATATGTTCATACTACAATGTTGTGTATGCTGTTCAGTGTCAGGAGGGCTGTGATCAGTCTTACATCGGGGAAACAAAACAGCCACTGGCCAAAAGGATGGCCCAGCACAGAAGATCAACATCATCAGGCCAGGATTCTGCGGTCTACACTCATCTCCAGGCCAGCGGTCACTCTTTCAAGGATGAAGATGTTCACATCCTGGACAGAGAGGAACAATGGTTTGAGAGAGGAGTAAAAGAGGCCATCTTTGTGAAAAGAAACCGTCCATCATTAAACAAGGGTGGAGGCCTCCGGGTTCAACTGTCCCCCTCTTACAATGCTGTGATTGCTAGTATCACTCAGCCCTCTGTGAATAGTAAACAGCCATCAGTGTGCTAATGATCCATTGTTAGGCTGAGGGTCCTTCTTGACCATGTGATCAGCTGGTTTTGGTTGTCAGCAGCAAAACTGGTTGATCCACTCTGAGAAGGTGCTATTTAAGAGACTGAGCTGAATACAGCACCTCAGACTGAGGAAGTCTCTTGGATGAGAGACGAAACGTTTCTACATTTTTTTTTTTGTTTGCTTTGTTTTTTGTTTTCTTGTTTTTTGAATGTCCAGAGGACCAGATTGAACTTTTTTGGATTTTTCTACCTGGATTATTGAGCATGTATCAGGATATCCACAACCTTGCCCCTCCGTACCTATCTGACCTCTTACACATCTCCATCTCCTCTCGCGCTCTCAGATCCTCCTCTTCACTACACCTCCATGTACCCTCTGTCTGCCTCTCCACCATGGGGAGCAGGGCCTTCACCTGCTCTGCCCCTCATCTCTGGAACTCTCTACCCCCTAACTTAAGAAACACCACCTCTCTTTCTACATTCAAGACTGCTCTGAAAACACATCTCTATAGACTCACTTATCCTTAACTTTGCTGTATGTATTTTATATTCTTTATGTATTTTATATTTTTTATGCAATTTATTCTTGTTGATCTTTGTTCTTACTGTAAAGTGTCCTTGGGTGTCAAGAAAGACGCTTTTTAAATAAAATGATTATTATTATTATTATTATATAAACCTTTACTGATTTCTACCAAAAAGTAGACGTTTGGAAAATTTATAAAACTTGAATAAGTGTTTTCATAGAAAACAATTGCAGTTGGTATATAATTGGACATTTACATATAAAGTGATATCATCTACATACAAGGTGATTATTAGTGTGCCTTTAAACCGTCTAATTTGTTTTAATAAAGTCCGATCAGCCTTCTGGGCCACCCATGGTCCAAATGACTTATCAACCCACTTTTTAAAGAACAGTTACTCATTTTACACTTTTGTTTCTGAGAAGACTAAGATGAACTAAACGCAGGAAAACAACAAACAATACAGTAGACACAAAAAATGAAATAAATATTTTTTACAAAGTTAAAAGTTTATGATGTTAAAACTCCATACCCTCCAAAATTAGTCAACTTTGGTCCTTTCTCCAAAATATTATTCATGATGTTGAGAGTAAAAAAACAAAAAAATACTTTTTAATGTTTGTGGCCCGGCGAGTTCTTGCATTTTGACAGTTCTGGCCCATGCAAAGGTTTGGACACCCCTGTGCTAAACACTAAATTTGGATTTTCCTACATGACAGCCCCCTCCCTTAATGAAGAATAAATAAACCCAGTGGGTTGTATTAAGAGGAATCTGTGAACAGAGCTCATCTAACGAACTTTAACTTCTTCACTGACAGAAGTCGTTGCATCAGTTTGAGCTTTAGCTCCATTAAAAGCTGCTAAAAGGCTTTTTGACTCAGCAGACCTAAAACCAACAAAACAACCACAAACTTTTATCACACATCATTTTCTGTGGTAATTAACTCAATCTTTGGTGTGAATAAAGATTTATTACAAGAATTTAACTGATTATTATTATTTTCACTGCTGAAAAGGCTTGAACCATCTTCAGAGGATCCTGATGCACGCTCAGTAATCCAGGTAGAAAAATCTAACAACGTTAAGTCAGCTCCTCTGGACAGATGAAAAAAGACAAAAATTTAAAATTGTTGAAACGTTTCATCTTTTATCCAAAAGACTTCTTCAGTCTGAGGAGCTGCAACAAACTCAGTCTTATAAATATCACCTTCTCATAGTGGAATAACCAGTTTGTTCAATTCAATTCAAAAATACTTTATTAATCCCAAAGAGAAATTAAGTGCTGTCGTAGCTCATCATCCTGGTTTCATTCAAGAGTTGTTACAGATGCTGATGGCTGTGGGCGGGAAGGATCTCCTGCAGTGAATCCGAAGAATCTGGCCACAGATACTGATCCGTCCACCCGGATCCAGCTTGCTGTCAGATCCAGCAGACCTCTCGGTCCTCCTGGGCAGCAGGACTGCCCGAACACTGGGCAGAATTCCTCCCTGAGCGATGGTCACTCCTCCCAGCAGTCTGCCGAGCTCCTCGTCACCACGGACAAACAGCTGAAGGTGCCAGGATACGATCCCGGTACTCCCATTGTCACAAGCTGAGTTTCTCACCAGTTCCAGGATCTCGGCGGTCAGGAACTTGCGCTCCACCGCCAGGTTGACGGGAATTCATCCAAGGTGCCTCTTTTTCAACTCATTTGGGATTTGTGTCTGTAGTTGAGCTTTGAGATGTTTCAGCTGCTCCTGGTAGTTTATTGTTGACATCCAGAACCGGCTGTTCACATGATGATGGAGGACCATCAGACTAATGGCTGGTTGTTAGCACCCTGATGGCCACTTGCTATTCACAGAGGGCTGAGTGATTCTAGCAATAACAGCATTGAAAGAGGGGGACAGTTGAACATGGAGGCTCCGCCCCTGTTTAATGATGGACGGTCTCTTTTCACAAAGATGGCCTCCTTCACTCCTCTCTCAAACCATCGTTCCTCTCCAGGATGTGAACATCTTCATCCCTGAAACAGTGACCTCTGACCTGGAGATGAGTGTAGACCACAGAGTCCTGGTCTGATGATGCTGATCTTCTGGGCCATCCTTTGGTCCAGTGGCTGTTTAGTTTCCAGTCCAATCTTCAAAGAACTTTTAATAATAATTTTGTGTTAAAAATGTAGAAGCCAGTTTTTGTGACGGATGAAACTTTTCACATGTAGAATTTCAGAAAGTTCCCTGTGCATGCAGACTTTTGAACTTCCTGATTTTAATTTTAAACACAGACCAGTGATGTTGGAGTTAATTATAGAAATAACTGGTTCAACTCTGAACAACCTGCACCAGAGCCACAAGTTCTGGTTCTGGTTCCATCAGCACCAGCACAACACCACAGGTTACTGGTTCCATCAGCACCAACATCACATGTTACTGGTTCCATCAGCACCAACACCACAG